GATCATTAGGCACCATCTTTTTTGCTACTTCGAGCATCTCCACGACCCATCATTGTTCCTATTATGATATACGTGAATGCAACGCATAGATAGAAATAATCAACGACAACCGAAACTCTTAGAAATTCGATTACGCCTCGCAAGCTAATGAGATAGCTCTAATGTGCTAGGCTACGTATCTAGGTTGTCATCAGAGCGCTACTTTACCCAAGTATTTTAGTTATACCACTTCAAGGCATTTCTTTATTTTGTTTAATATATATATATATATATCTATCTAAGGCTCATTAGTTATCCTAGCAAAATAATTACTCTGGAGCCACAAAAATTACAGTAAGCCTATCATAATACTAGGAACCTAGTGTAAAATTTTTAGATTTTAACACTAGCATTGATTGATCTCAAAAATTCGTACAAGTTCATATTTTAATAATATCAAAGCATGTTAAATCATTTAAAGCAATCTTGAATTATTTTAGAGTTATGGGAACCAAACACACTAATAGATAGGTTATGATTTTAGGAACCTAACAAAATTATTTTCACAATTTTTGGTCAACTACACAAATTTTTATTGGATTTACAAGTTTAGCTTAGAAACTAAATTAGCAAATACTTGGAAAAGAAAAGGGATCGACCTTAACCCAATCTGGCCTGCTGGTCCAGTGTGGGGCGCGAGCGCGTGCGCGCCGCGACGGCCCAATACGACCCAAGACCGGGACACGCGCGTGCGATGGCATTCTTGTAAAAGAGACCATGTTCTTCTTCGTAATAGCACAAACACCATACATACTATTTCTTCAGTCAACATCTTTGCAAATAGGCCCCTGGATGTTGTTGCCTTTACCACGGAGAGGTCCCTAGACTCCCCACGCTCGCCGACGTGTGGCGGCCGCGACAGCAGGCAGCTACACCGGCAACCTAGACTCGCTAAGACAAGAGTAAGGGGCCAACCACTACCTAAGGCTAAATGCACATGGCTGGGTAGTGGTTAGGGACTCGAGGATGTAGTACTACGAGTTGCAGCGGCGAGGGGTCATTTGCGGCGGCGGTGTGGCTGTTTCGGTGGCCTAAGGTGCTATCGAGGCGATGGAGGTAACACATAAGCACTAGTGGCTCACCGGGGTTCGCATCGCGGCGGCGGTTGAGACGGAGGAGCGATGAGGCGACCTGGCCACGCGCACCCGCACCTCATAGCGGCGTGCTGAGCGTGGCACCGCCGTGTCACCGCGCCGATGGTGAGCCTCTTGGACAAAACAACACGAGCACCAAGTGGAGGGGGTGAAGACGAGTTTACGGTCTCCAACAATCGAACTACTATCGCTCCAACCCTACCTCTCTCCCCAGTTCCAGGTCACGGCGGTGACCAAGATCCGCGGTGAGCAAAATGCCCAATTGACGGTCGATAGGTCTTGGCCGGGGGTGGGAAAGATGGAGCGACTAGTTGGCCTCCAGTGCCACTTACTGGTGCAAAGAATCAGGTTGCGAGAGGCCTGAGCTAGATGAATTTGAGGGGCGGATAGGCGAGCTCTGGCCGTGCCATGCCGTGAAGAGGCACACGCACGCGGGCGAGAGGATTAAGACAGGTTGGCTCTAATCACCCGCTACGACACGAGCACGTGCATGGGACTGGCAAAGCAGGGAGGGTTTGTTGCGACACGCTTAATTCGGAGGGGCCGGACTCGAGCAGAGCTCTCATGGCGGCTAGCGGCAAGACAGTGAGGCTTCTCATCTCCATTGTGATTGGGTCATCATCGTGGTAGATAGAACGAGGGGCAGGGCAGCCGCCACGTCGACCGAGCCATGATAGCCGCAACCTAGCCCTGAACTAGTGCTCGGCTCAGCGGCCGGCCACCCGAGGCCGGTAAGCCCACGAGCTACAACAGGAGCTAGGCCGCGGCCCGCCTAGCATGGCCACGCATAGCCAGGGATGCCGCGCAACATCGACCGGGCGTGCGCCGACCGAGCGGCAACAACCCAGCCATGCTCGAGCTCGTCGCCAACCGCGCCGTGCACGTGGTGACCGTGAACTTTGGCCGAGCAGCTACTATCAGTGACTTGCATGACTTTTGAAGCTCCAACCGAAACCAAACCAGCTCGGTTGAGACCAAACCAATTTGCCAAGGCTCAAGAGGGTTCTAAAGGCTATCCCAAGGAGCATCAACGCAAACTTAGATGAATTACCGAGAGAGATAGAGACACGCCAAAATAGGTTCGTCAAGCCAGGCGCTGAGTCACGAAAGGAGCGCCAAAACCTGACCGCAACACGTTCTAGCGATGTTGGGGAAATTCTTGCGACGCGACGACAACTCCAACCCACTCAGGGACTACACCCTACCCAAGTATTCACTTTGATGCAACCAACTGTGCGAAAACATGAAGTTAGTGTTTAGGCATTTTTGTTGGATTTTAAATGCCAAAATAGCATTGTCCATTATCATTTCTGACTTAGAGAATTCAAATGTTCGGTTAGAACTAACCTTCCTTAACACGTTTGCCCTAATTTTGAAAAGGTCTAAACCTTGTTGATTTCAACTAACAAACCTACTGTGACGTAGCCCATACTTCGCACTAACTCATAGAAACAAAATATGTAGACATTGTTTAATTATTTTGCATCAAATAATCCTCCAAAAATGGCACTTTTTAATCCTAAGTTATATTACGCTTCGGTTTATAAAAATTATTTTTCATGCCAACAATTAAAACAACTTATTTAGTTTTTCTTATTAGGATCTCATTAGCGTATTTTCACCTAAAATAAAGTAACTTACAACGCTCATTTAATTTTTCTTAACTACAGAAGTGAGTCATATAAGATACACGTGCCATTTCATGTGTGTTTTAACTTGCTAAAATTTGAAAACTCATTTGGCTTGATTTCTCCGAGGACTTAACCTAGGTACTAAGCAAGTTCGTGACACCAGCGGTGTTACACTAGGGCTAGCACCAGAAGTGGCGGTGTGCACCACCACAGGCGCGACGGTGCACCGCCGTGGGCACCGTCACCCTGTTCGGTGGCACCACCCCTTTTCAATAGAGAGCGGGTGAACTGGAGATGGGCACCGCCACGGGCACTGTCACCTTGGGCGGTGCATCGCCCCATTTTTCCAGAGAGCATGGATTTCAGGGTGTTGGCCGGGGTGGCACCGCCACCCCCTGTCCGGTGACCGCTGACAGTCAAACTAGCCGTTGGATTTGACCATTGGGGGCACCACCACCCCATGTCCAGTGACCGCACCGCCGTGTCCGATGCCCTCGCAGAAAGCTGATCCAAAGGGGTAGCGGCTCTATTTGCTTGTGGGTTTATAAATAGAGCTAGTGGCCAGCCTTAGCCACTCTCTTGGCACTTCTAACCGCTGCATACACCCTTTGAGAGCTGAGCACACCACTCTACTCACTTGCACACTTGGTATCATCATCTTGAGTGAGATTGGAGAACCTCTAGCTCATTGCTTAGTGTTCTAGCATCTTGTGGCACTAATTGGACGATTTGGGCTGGTGGAGTTCTTGTTACTCTTGGTGTTTGCCGACACCAAGATGGCCCAGTGATTGGTGGATCATTGAGCGGCTATTGGTGATTGTTGACGGCTCCGATCGTCGATATTGTGAGGGGTTCTTGTGCCTTTCCCGTGGAAGATCATGAAAGGCAACTCTAGTGGATTGTGCGTGGTTTGTGTGATCTTCATCTTATATCGGTTGTGCGGCACCCTATTGAGGGTTTGGCGTGTGATGCCAATTAGCGCGTGAACCTTCAAGTGAGTGAATCGCCACAACGAGGACTAGCTTGCCGGCAAGCAAGTGGACCTCAGTAAAAAATTATTGTGTCATCATTTGATTCCGAGGTGATTGGTCTTTATTAGTATTCATTTTTGTGATTGATTGGCTCCTTTGGTGATTGGCTTATTCCTCTACACGGCGATATAACACTCTATCCTTTCCACGCATTTACATTTCTTAGTGTAGCATGGCCCTTTAGTGTAGCTAGTTTTGAGGGCAAGCAAGAGTCGTGTCTAGGTTAGTGAGACTATTTAGTTAGTCTTTGAGACCTCACTAATTTAGTGTAGTGACATAGCTTTGAGTGCTTATAGACAATAGCAACTAGAATTGTGGTAGGTGGCTTGCATTCTTAGTAGGCTAGTGCAACATTTACTTTCGCCTCATATTTGTCTACCCGCTTTGCGTAGTGTTGTTGTATAAATTTTTATAGGCTATTCATCCCCTGTAGCCATTAGGACTTTTCACACACCCCCAAAGCATAGTAGATTCATTTAATACCTATATAAATATTTGAATTTATAGCACAAAAAAATACCAATTTTCAGTCATTTTTATTAAAATATTTTGATTTTGGTTATAAATAGTGTAAAAATTTTTAAAAAGTTGTTGGAACATATAATTATGTATATTTTATCACACTAAAAATTACGATCATATTTGTCCGCCCCCTTAATCAAAAACGCTGGTTCCGCCACTGTCTAGGCATAGTATGTATCTAAATGTTAGATATAGTAATAAAGTTATGTATTAAAAAATTCAAAATATCTGACGTTTGGATCCTTTCACTTTGGAGGAAATGGAATCTATTTAATAGACTAGACTATTTGGCTTGGAATTTAACGTTTCATAACTTTTCAAAGTTCACATATAAGCCTATCTCCAATTTATAGGTTGAGAGATAGAAATTGATTCTATAGATCACCATGTTATATATGTTTCTATTTTGCAACTTATAATACATTTTTAACTCATTCCCCTACAATAAAAATGCAACACATAAGTATCTCTCTCGTATGGCCAACAATAATATATAAATATATTTCATGTACAACAATATTAGCTTAATTAATCTGTTAAAATATGATTATTAAAATAAATTCAATTTTAATGATCGAAACGGCCGTATAGTTTGAAATGGAGGCACTACATGCGAAGGAATTATAAAGCTGGATAGACCCAGCATACAATTGTTTGTGCGTAACACAGCAGTTTTAGTTATGTTAGCCAGGGCCAACTTTGGGGATGTCGTAGTGCTCGCTGAGGTTTGCCAGGTACTGGTTGAAGTCCTGGATGCGGTCCCTGTGCGACTTGTTGGCAACTTTGGCCATCTTCTGCTTCAGTTCCATGTAGCGTCGCTCCGCTGGTGTGAGATGGTCATAGTCAGGGTGTGGATTCCCTTATTCATCTCCCATCTTGTCAGCTTCAACCAGCTCATTGTTGGGATCAGTTGGTAAGTCAGAGTTTCCCCCTGAAGAATAACCATTGGATTAGATATGTAGTGAGTGTAACCAGCTGAAAATGTTTTTATATTCATGAAGTCCAGTTACACAAAGAAAAACAGGTGAGACGATGTATAAAATGAAACAAGTTGGAAAAATGAACCAAGCACCGCATGGACAGCTACCTATTTACCAACGAAGGCCCTGTTCGATGGGAGAAATTTGGAGAAATCTAGATGAATCTGGAGGAATTTGTGAGAGAATAAACAGTGCTTTTCATCCACGCAGCAGTGAAATCCGGCTGGTTTTCCAACCAACCGAACGAGCCCGAAGTGAGAAATTTCTCTCAATAGGTTAGGGTGTCAGCAAAATCACTATGACACACAACTCTGAAGATTATTTTAGTAAAGACTGATCCACCTATAACATGAGAAAATTGTCAAATCCTATCCTGTCATAACACTAAACCAATTCAAGTCTCTAAACAAATACATTGTCATTGCAGGAGCAATCAACAACTGAGTGACTGAGAAGGTTACAGGACCAGGGTTCTTGTTTGTTCTGCAAACAGTTCACATAGCCACTAATAACACTTATCAGCACAAACTTAATAACAAATTCCTCAGTAATGCCTCCAAGATCCTTTATCAAAACATGAATACAAAAAAGAAACATATATGCAGCGGCCATATAAAACTACAAACCGGTGTATCCAAATACAGATTAGATGAGCATCAAGAATATAAAGAGAAAGAAATGCGGCAAAAAAAAAAATTGTTAGAAGCATTAGTAATGCACTTCCTATTTGTGACGGCATGGACAAATAACAAACAGAAGGCACCTAAACAGAGGTAATTATGTAACAAAAAAACTAATTGGTTATTCAGTGCACACAACCAAGCAGTTGATGGTTACCACCTCTAACAAACATAGTAATGCTTATCAACACATCCAATTGTGCAGAAATTGAACAGCGGATGCTTAAGTCTAAAATTGGCCAGTGTAATAATGAGAGAAAAAAACTTTCTGGAGCTCATTGTGCTCAATCTGAGACGACTCCTCAAGTTGATGCTTCTTCTTCTTTTCTTGACTCCACCTTCCTTCACGTCCAGCGCTTTACCCTTCAGCTTCAGCCTCCCCCCAACAACGTTCTGGTATTCCGACATCTCCTAACAAAGAGATCCAACAAAGTTAGCTCAACAAAGCCAAGCAACATGTCCAACTGATAATTTTTTTAAAAAAATATAGAACTTAATAGGCATAATACATGTATGTATAAATTTGACCGGATCTGAATACAAACAGTTTAAGTTAGGGTTTGAGTGCTCACTTTCGAACTGAGGGGCAGACCCAGTAAAGGACATGGGTGCACACGTGTACACCCTTTTTTATAGAAAAAAAGAAACAAAAAAAAGTTTGTAGGCATAATACATGTATACTACTCTTGTAATTGGATTAGGTCATGGATGGGTGCATCAACATCAGACACTTCAGATCATACGACCTCGTCATTTTGCTTCTTGATATACAACTTCATAACTCTTAATTAAGAAATAATCTAAATCTGTACCTTCAGGCAGAAAAGAAACTGAACATAACCCAGAATCATTTAGATAAGGCGACATAGGTAAAGGAAGCAATGAGAAAACTTTGAAGACCATGAATGTATGTGTCGGGTTTATAAACCCGGGGTCCCTCACGGACCGGCTTCCCAACAAAGGCTCGGCCCAGCAGGCAACGTTGCAAACAAACGCGCAACTCATGGGCCGGCCCAAGTACATAAAACGGCAGGCCAGAAAGGGCGATCCAATCACCGACCGGAAGGTCTGGCCAAGGAGGAACAACGCCCGTTTTTGACTCCGGCCCACCTCTCCGACCGGAGCGCTCGTTTCGATCTCTAGCCCGCCTCCGGACGGCCTCTCCGACCGGAAGGCCTGGCCAAAGCACCGCCTCAACTCCGACCCGCGTCTCCGACTGGGGATGCGCCGAACCCCTGCTCACCACTCTTCTCCGACTGGCGCGATCAGAGCCGACTGAGACCAACCGACCAGGGACACCCGCTCGGTAAGGACCAGGAAACGGACGGAGAAAGTAAGGTAGTGCGCACAAGTCAAACCGCAATACAAGGGACCGTACCCTTCGCACCTGCCAGGTAGTACCCTACGACCCTCCGGCACTACAGAACTCAAACAGTATTGTAGGCGCAGACATTTTCCCCTACAGTATTGTGGGTGCCATTAACTCCTAAGGCTCCCCCCACATGCCTCTGGGCATCGATAGTGTTGTGGGCGCCGACATTTACCGTATCGGGCAAACATGGTAAAACCACTTGCATGCCTCTAGGAATCAACAGTGTGGCAGGCGCCGACGTCTGCCATACCTGAAGAGGACAACACAACCTCTCATATGCATCTGACATTCAACAGTATTGTGGGTGCCTACCATCTCCCTGTACCCACTGGCGTGGGCAACAAGGCTTAGTAGCATACGTACTCTCTCCCTCTCACTTGTAAAGCCATCCCCTTCATCTATAAAAGGAGATGTGCTCTCTCCCAACAAACGCAAGTTAATTCAGATTCATCAAATCGACCAAGTTCTCTAGTACACAATAGCAGAACCACCAGGTTTAAACCATGAGCACACGCTCGAACACTTAGCTCATAGCGATGCTCCCGTCACTCTTGGCCCTTCCGACCGGACCTCTTGTACCCCCCATCTTTCTCCTTCTCGTTTGTAACCCCACTGCAAACTTCGAGCACCTGGGCTCAGGAATAAAGTCACCGACCGACTCAAATTGGACGTAGGGCATGTTACCTGAACCAGTATAAACCCTGTGTTATTGGGTGCTAGGCCAGCTCCGATCACAACGTACGTCAAAACTACAAATATTTACTTGTTGGTCACTTTCTGCACCGACAGTTGGCGCCGTCCGTGGGGAAGACGCTGTACGTTCAACACTTTTTGGTCATCGGATGACCCACTTTTCCGACCACCTTCGCCATGGCGGGCTCAAGCGATGCTACTCGCTTCGGCTCACTGGAGTTTCCTACACTCCCACCTGTTGAGATGTGGGTTCCACCCATCTTTGAGCTGTCCTAGGCCTTCCTCTTCAGAAGCCTGGACTTCGTCGCCGACCGGATCGGCATGCTACACCTCCACGAGGAGGCACTCGTCCGGCGCCCGTCGGAGGGGCACCCTCCATCGGCTCTAGGACACACGACGACTTCAACGATGAGGCATCTGCGCTTCATTCCGAGCAAACTCTCTGCTCAAACCCCGCTGTGAGTAATATACATACTGATATTTACTTGTTATTCTCTATCTTCCGCCGATTATCCGGAGGGACCCCGTTGTCTCCGCCACGACCGCCATACGACCGGTTCCCCTATGGCCTCGCGTCTCCCATGGACGCGTACGACCGGGGGCTCCAAAGGATGCCGGCGCCGCCCCCTCTCACGTCTGAATTCATGGGGATGGCGAGCTATGCTCCCACCTATTTCCTCGACCTCATGGATGACGATATTGAGAGTGACGGCTCCAGCATTGGCGACGTGGCGCCTAGCCACCGTCCGTCCCAGGAGTGCGCTATGGCGGACGCTCTGGGACAGCCATCGGTGGTAACGGAATCCTTCCAGACTCACACCCCTCCGAACCCTCGTGCGGAGACCCTCGCGCTCACATGGGAGCGCGGCGAGGAGCTACGACAACAGCGGTTGAACCAGCCGCCGACTGCGCCCGCACGCTCGGCGCACCACACTGCGCCCCGTGCGCATAAACCGGCGAACAGCACCTGGGGTCGCGCCCGTTGGGTCCAGCGCAACACCATGAACAGGGGGAATGATCCCCCACATTTTGCTCGGGCCACCCATCTTTGAGTCGTCCTAGGCCTTCCTCTTCGGAAGCCTAGACTTTGTCGCCGACCAGCTCGGCATGCTACACCTCCGCGAGGCACTCGTTCCGGCACCCATCAGAGGGGCGCCCTCCATTGGCTCCGGGGCGCACAACTACTTCAATGATGAGGCATCAGCGCTTCATTTCGAGCAAACTCTCTGCTCAAACCCCGCTGTGAGTAATGTACATACTGATATTTACTTGCTATTCTCTATCTTCTGCCGATTATCCGGAGGGACCCCGTTGTCTCCGCCATACCGATATTTACTTCCCCTATAGCCTCGCATCTTCTCATGGATGCGATCGCCCGAGGGCTCCGAAGGATGCCATTGCCCTCTCATGTCCGACGACCATGGCGAGCTATGCTCCCACCTCTTTCCTTGACCTCATGGATGACTATGTTGAGAGTGATGGCTCCAGCATCGGTGATGTGGCGCCTAGCCACCGTTCATCCCGGGAGTGCGCTATGGCGGATGCTCCAATAGCCACGGATGCCGAGTCCTGCGCACTCACACCCTCCGGACCTCGTGTCCCCAAATTCTCACACGGGGCGTGGCGAGAGCTACGCTCCCACCTCTAGCCGCCGATCATTGCCAGCCAAGCGCCTCGCCCTCATGGATGATGATGTTGAGAGGTGCCCGGGTCACGCCCATCGGGTCCAGCGCAACACACGGAACGGGGAACAATCCCCCCAGTTCGCCTAGCCACCGAACATCGCCCTAGCCCGCAACGCTTCATGCGGCCTTCCCGAGCCGAATGACCCCCAGGCACTGGTGGAGACCACCGTCGTTCAACAGGCGGAGAGCTCCGCATCGTGACACCGACTCGCGACCTCTCTCCCCACTAGGGGAGTGGGGACGCACCAGACGAATCGCTCCACCCGCTCACCGCTATAGCTGCCGAGCGTGGCACAGGAGACCGCATCTGCGCCTCGTCTTGACTTAGCGACTGCTCCACTCCGACCGCCTGTACACGAGCGGCTCAGGCCGAACCAAGACGCTCGCAGCGTCATCAGCACCCGGAGTCCTAGCCTGGATGGCTCGGGACCACAGGCCTTTGTCCGACGCATCCAGAGAGCGACGCTCCCACCGCGCTCCAACGGAGGCCGAGGCAAAGGCAAGGCCAAGAGCCAGGATCAGGACAAGGGCCTCTCCACATAGAGAGGGGAAAAGAATAGAAAAGATCACCGCCTACCGGCCAACACCGCATTGGTCGCCATGGCTGATCACACGGGCAAGCAGCCCCAGCAGGACCTTCCGGGCCACTTCCACGAGCTCATGGAGAGCCCGTGCACCAACAACGCTTACCCCATCAAGCACCTCTACAAGGACTACGAGCTCCTCAAGCACCTTCTGCGATAGGTGAAAGCTCTAGTTTGGTTTTGGTGAATTGATGAAACCCTAAGTGCTAACCTAGTTTATCAAGTGATCATGATATAGGTAGCACACTCCAAGTGGTGAAGCAAATGAAGATCATAACATGATGATGGTGATGCCATGGTGATGATCAAGTGCTCGGACTTGGAAAGAAGAAATAGAAAAACAAAAGGCTCAAGGCAAAGGTATAAATTGTAGGAGCCATTTTGTTTTGGTGATCAAGACACTTAGAGAGTGTGATCACATTTAGGATCGATAGCCGTACTATTAAGAGGGGTGAAACTCATATCGGAATACGGTTATCAAAGTGCCACTAGATGCTCTAACTCATTGCATATGCATTTAGGATCTAGTGGAGTGCTAACACCCTTGAAAATGTTTATGAAAATACGCTAACACATGTGCACAAGATGATACACTTGGTGGTTGGCACATTTGATCAAGGGTGGTGAAGTTTAGGTGCAAGGGTAAGAAACTCCACCGGTGGAGTGTCTGCCCGTAGAGTGAGGACAGTCCGACAGTGCCACCGACACCCTAGACAGAAAAGACAGAGGTCACTATGAGTGACTGGACGCTAGCCTCGGTTGGACCGAAGCGTCTGGTCAGTGGCAGCAGAGGGCGTGCGTTTCGGTCTCATGACCGGACGCTGGGTCGCTCAGCAACCGGACGCTAGCAGGGTGCGTCCGGTCAGTGCTGACGTATGCTGACGTAGGGCGTACAAAGGAGATGTTGTGTGACCGGACGCTGGCTGTGTCCGGTCAAGCATGACCGGACACGTTCGGTCGGGAAAATCGCATTTGGAACCTTACTGGAAACGTCCGGACGCTGAAGTCCAGCATCCGGTCACTTTCTAACTGACGCGTCCGGTCAGCAGACGACCATTGAAATCTGACGAACAGTATTTGAAGCAGGGGACACGTGGCGTGAATCACATGACCGGATGCTGAGGGCCAGCGTCCGGTCGATCGGACCGGAGCGTCTGGTCACCCCGCGTTGTGCCCAGTGAAGGGGTACAACGGCTCTATTTCATGGGGGTTTCTATTTAAACCCCATGGCTGGGTCAAGCTCACTCTCTTGGCCATTTGCAATGACATAGC